GAAAAAAAAAAAAAAAGAAGAGGGGAGGCAGGTCCAGCCCATCATCTAATAGTTGAGAGAGCCGGATTCCACGTAGCTGACTGCATGGTTCCAATCTCAGCCCTGGTAGCTTGAAAAGCATGCCGGGTGCATGTGACACATGCCCCAAATCCCAATAGGATGGAGAACTGGAGAAGGGATGGTAGCATGATCACACCTCATTGGGAGATGCTTTTCTCCTCTCTCTTTCTCCTTGTCTCTCTCTGACAAACACACACCCTCTGGCAATAATAAAACGGAGCAACAGTGGCACAGAGGTAATGCAACACTGCAATGCTGGACCCATGTGGGAAGGTTCCAGGTTCCCATCTCAGGGCCTCCCTGTACATGCCAGGCATGTGATCCAAGCTGGCTAAGGCTGGGGAGAGATTGCAACATGAAGAGCCCATTGGCAGTGACACCTGTCTCTTTCTCTGTGTGTCTATCTCATGGAAAAAATAAGTAAGTAAACTTTAAAAACAAAAAGGAAAAGGAGAGAAAGAAATGGTAAGTAGGAGCCAAAACTGCTGAGGCTTGCCAACTGCTTACCCACAGCACGGGTATTATCATCCACGCTTATCATCCTCAGCTCCTCCTCATTAGGCCTGTGGAGCAGAGGAGACAGTACATGGATCTGGCACCCTAAGAGGTCAGGCCTCACACACACACACACACACACACACACACACACACACCACCCAGCACCTTCTGAGCCTCTGAGGGGACCCATTTGCACATAACAGCTGCTGTTTTGCTCCTGCTGTCTCTATCCTTTGATCATAAAAGTCCCACACATTCATTGTAGAAAATTTACAAAATACAGGAAAGTAAAAGAAGCAGAAAAAAAATAATTCATATCAGCCAGAGACAGCCACTGTTATCATTTTGGAAAATTTCATCTCAGACATCCTATGAAGTCATTTAGATTCTATACACATAACTTCACAGCTGGCTCCATCAAAAAGTAAGAAACATCATTACAGACTTTAAAAAACATTTATAATGACTGCTTAATGCTCATATCATATGGGATAACCATAATTGACATAGCCATTCCATCTCTCACTTTGCTGTCACAAAGCAAATGTCAGCAAACAGCCCTGGGCATAGTTTTTCAACATGTTGAGTTATTTCTCTAGTGTATATTCCTGATTATGAAGGAACCCATCTTTTCTGTAAAAAGATAGGTATAGAAGACTGTGGGACACAGGAACCAGCAGAGGAGAGGAAGGAAAGTGAATGGAGGAAGGGAAGGGACCAGAGAGGCCTGGGTCCCTCTGCTGCCCCTACTCCAAGTCTCCATGTCAGCCTGGCAGATCACTGCCCCTCCATACCTATAAAAGCGGCACAGAGGAGCCAGGAAATTCACATCAAGGGCAGGGGAGTCAAGAGGTCTATAGTTAATAATAGCATACTGAATTTAGGATTTTTACTAAAGGATATTATAGCTATTCTTGCCACCTAGGCAAAAAATGGGTAACTATGTGAGATATGGATATGTTACTTTGGTCTGCTATAGTAACCATTTATATAAACACAAACACTCCCACACGTGAGTGTACACATATTGTATATGTTTATGTGTATATACTCATAACATCACATTACATATCTTAAATATTCTTAAATAAAATTCATTTCTTAAAAAAGGAATGAATTTGGAAAGCCAGACATCAGGACCTGGCACAGAGCAAGGGTAAATCCATGGTAGATATTGGTCTTGTTCCTTCTTCTCTAGGCGAATCAGATCCCTGAGTGGCATAAGCTAAGTATATTTCATAGGGTCTCATCATGGTGAAATCACTATTCTTATACTCACACATGAGCATCAGATATCTACAGAGTAAGGCAAATGAGGGAAATCATAACTTTCGTAAAACCTGTTCAGACCTGAAAGGAGCTAAGATTGCTCAGATCTTTTTCTTCCTAAGAAGCAACTTCATGATGTTGATGTTTCTGGACATGGTTTAAACTTTTTGAAAGCCCCTCATCACTTTCACAGAAATAGAATCTCACTAGCTGACCAGTATGTCGTACTTATTACAATGCTGGGCACTATTCTAAATGCTTCATGTATATTGATTTAATCTTCACAACTACCCTATAAGGTAAGTACTTCTAATCCTCTGGAGTAGGTAGTACTATCATGCCCTTCTTAGATGATGAAACAGGGGCAGTGAAAAGCTCAAGGTCATGCAGCCAGGATCCAAACCCAGGCCTTCTGGCTCTCAACCAACAAGTTACTGCTTCTTAGACAAGGGAGTCTGGGGTCTTACTCAAACCTATCTTGAACCCTTTCTAGAACTAAATGGAAAAAGTCATCAGTAACAGATAAGATCGGGGATGAGACAATGGCACAGAGGTAAAACATGATATTCTGTGAAGCTGATCCACATGGGAGAATTTTGAGTTTGTATCAGGAAACCTCCCTGATACAACTCTGAGTGAGTACATGCTCATGATCCAGGGCTGGCTGAGGTTGATAGTCAATTTCAGCATCAGAACTATGTTGGGGTGCTGTCTCTCTCTCTCTCACTCATGGAAGGAAAAAAAAAAGAACTTTGAAAAAGTAGACAAGATCCTTGCCTCCTTCGTGCAGGCTTTTCTTTGGGCCCGCCTTTTGCCCAGATATTCATTCCCAGTTTCCCTCCCCACATGGGACATGTGGCTAGAAGACCACCAGACACAGAATGGCTGCAAGAATTCCTTTTTTCTTAGCACTCTTTCAGAGAAAGCTTGAACCATGGAATGGATCTAGAGTCTGGACAAGAAGGTCTTTCTCCATGGTCTAAGGATACATATCCTACCAGAGCTATTTAAGTCAGAATACTAGGTGGCCAGGGATGGGGTGTCTCTGGAGCCCAGCCATCAGTGCCTGCACAACATGAATGAGAAAGGGGGATTTAGGGCAAATCAGCTTGATCCTTCACCAGTCCCCTTAGTGTGTCTCAAATCCAGCTTTCTGAATCGTGGCTTAACATGATTTCTGCCAGGCTGCGCTAACTTCTTCTGCTGCGTAGTTTCATTATAAAAACATCATTTTCCTAGGACCTTATAATGCAAACCTCTTCAAGAAGACTCACAAAGAGGCAGAAAGCCAGCTCTCCTTCACATGGGTAGGACTAGACAAGCCTCCCCCGCCATCCAGCCCAGTCCTGACATGCATTAGAGAGTCATAGATGTGAGAGAGAAAAAGAAAAAATTCAGGAAGCAGCCAGCCAGCAGGAAAAGGATTCCACAGTTCAGCTGAAGGAAAGAGAAAAAAGAGAAGAAAAACAAACACAGAATAAATCCTTCAGTTCACAAAGCATCTCTTCCATAGCCAAGGAAGGCAAGAAGAGGGGACCATCCAAAAAGCAGGTCAAGCAATCGTGCCAGTCCCAAGATCCATGAAGTGAGCAGACAAACAAGTTGTTTGTCCTCCCTCCAAGTCAGAAAAATTAAAACAGGAGGCACAAGCATTTCATGCTCACCTCCTCCAATGCAGACCCTTTTCATTGATTCACCTAGTCATTTGAAAACCTTCACATCTATCCTTCAGAACACCACCTTTCCATTTTAACAACTGCAGAACTAAAGCTCAAGGAACCGTGCCTCTACACCCACTGACTATACACCACACTGACAACATCCATACAGAGCTCCACTTTGAAGAGTTTGAAATTGTGGGCTTTAAAAACAAAAACAAACAAACAAAAAGACAGTATCTTTCACAGTAAAAATTTGGGGGTAGCTATGATGTTAATAAAAATGTGGATAGTAAGAGAAATTGAATACAATGTATATTGACTCACTGATCAGTAAACGAGA